AACCCTACGTTCTTCAGCTTCGCTATTTCTATGCGAAGAGTCCACGAAATCGATCGTGGAGTGCAGAGAGAGCAACATTCCGGGGATGCCGTCCAATTGACGAAAATGGTCAGGATTTACTCCAGAGTATACCGTGGTTAGCCGCTGAGATTGCGTATCGCCTCCATGTTCAGGAGACGTGCTTGGAAAACATGGATGGTTTGCAGCTATCATTGTAGGCCTGCATGCCCAATGCAACACACCAACAAGCTGTAACAAATAATACTCTGTACAAATTCTTGCGTATAATCGGGGCGATGACAGCACCGGAGGCCGTTTCCCTCAACCGACAAATCCCACCACTTCAGATGCGAGCGCACAGCAGACGGGTGAGTCATCCGGGTACAGGTGTGAGACGCGCGGATGCATGCAGACAACGAGTTGGCGAAGTTTCAAGTGGGCAATGAGTCATCGCGTGCACAAAGCACATTGTGCACCCGGAAACGCAAATACAAAGACGGTGTGTGGGCGAGAGGTACGATTTGCCTCAGACACTTAGGGGGCAGGAGTCTGCAGGAGTCAACTGAGGCGGAAATGCCGTGCAAACGCGTTCCATTGTTTCTCAGGAAACTGTAACCAGCAATTTAATGCAATAAGTTTCCTTTAACTTACCGAAACCTTTAAAGTCTTTTTAAGATACGATAATTGGGGCTCACACTTTGTCTGCAGTGGTTATGTTCAAATTTTGACTATCGGAACGCAGAATGTAGCACAATCGAAAGAATGTGGAGTTTGAATGGAGTGTGCAGGCTGCAAAGAGATCTCTTTTCGACAAATCACATCAGGTAATTAGATTTACATTGAGACAACAATAAACTAGCAAAAGCCAAGATAAAAGCAATAGAAATAGTCGGAACTGAATAGATTCTATTGGTATCGATGGACCCAGGCGGAGGGGACGTGGAACGCTGATCTGACCGGAGAGAGCTCGCTGAACAGGATCGAAACGGGGTCAACAGAGAAATTGAAACCACAGTTGGGTGACACCAGTGTTCCATGTGAAAGAGTGCTCTCGTTAAGGCCATGGTAACGTGAGGGAGTGCACAAATACACTGCTTGTCTACTCAGCTCCGGTTGAGTTAGCTTGATTGTTATTAGTTCAGCTATCCTTAGGAGGCCCTTTGGGTATTGCTTCGACACACTTCGGAACATTTCAAGTGTCTTCGTTTCAGTCTTCACAAGCGTATTGCTATCCCAATCAGTGTTGTAACGGCATGAGGTGACGTGCATTTCTTTGCAGCCATTTCCCCTCAGATATTTTAAGAACGAGAACGAAACCTGGCAAATAGTGGACCTAAACTCCCTGCCAGCTCCATCGCTCAGCACCTGCTCGATTGTACCTTGTGCGAAAACCCACGTGACGCATTCAAGGTTATCAGCAGACAAAACAACGCGAGCTTGCTTCGTTTCGCTGAAGCCTCTGCCATCCGACGAATGAAACCTAACCTTTGCAAACAGGTGGACCTTGTGGCCAGTCTTGCCTTGCCCTGGTAAAACCTAGGCGATGACCTTGACTTTCTCAGTGTTTTATTGATTTCCTTATTGACCTCCTTTTCAATTGCACTCACTTTTTCCACGATTTGTCTGTAAGCGGCTGAATGAGAAGACACAAAAATAATCTGAGATGCACCTACAACGTTCAGTTTTTTTCGACGGCATATATTATCGGCAGAATGAGGGGGTCGCAATGGGGTCCGCCCCCACTCGGACCAGTGCTGGCAGATATTTTTCTTGCCAAACTAGAAACTGAATCATTGAGGCGCCACTTATAGATGCCACTGAGGGAAGTGGTGAAACGTTTGTCATTAAATTACTCAGCTCGGAGAACGAATCAAAACATTCACGTATGTTTTTCAGCTATGAACTGAAGTTAGGTGCACTGACTGTGGTAACAAGCGTCCCGTGTGCAGTTCAAATGCTTAGCAACAAAGGCAGCTAAAGTAAAATAAACATATCCCGTGTTCCAATCCCATCACTCGTTACCTCATCCTGGAAATTACGAGGAAAGGTCACAGCAAAACGCTCTCGTTGGGAAACGCGATCCAAGCAAGTGACGAATGCTCCACCGAACACAAAAGAAGGCGAATGAGCCACTTGGCTGTCAGCAGTCTTTGTGAATCACCCCGCTGCCTTGCGGGTCAGGTCTTTAGACCAAAGGCTCGGGGGGGGGGGTCCCTTAAGTCAACCTTCTTCCTCGGCCTGGGCAACCGGGAAGCTCAATGCCCACACAACACATTGAACTTTCAGCTAATTCATCATCGCCACTCCCAAGCAGCAGGCCAAAATCCTCACTACTCATCAGTACTATAAAATCTGTCCGTATAGATTCTAAGTCCTATGCGGAAAGTCCTAGCTCGTGAAGCTAGCCATTGTCCACTGCACAGTTCGTAACTGGCATGGCAGTGGAAGATGAGCCGGGCTATATCATAGTCAACTGTCAATCACGCAGGTCCGCAGTTGTCACCCATGGCGAAGTGGCACTAGCTGCTGGCATCCTGAAGTCATGGGGGCGGAACTCGGCAGGGGTCCGCTGGGAGGCGCACCACTGACGAGACCCAGAAGGTCGAAACGCCGGCGTCTGGTGCTTCTCCAGACTAGCCTAAGCCTGCTGCTTGGGAGTGGCGATGATGAATTAGCTGAACCATGTTAAAAGCTTCACTACTCATCAGTACATTGAACTTTGCTTCCAGTCCTCTTACTCACTCTCTCATTTTTGTTATTGTTACTCATGTGTTGTGGCACTCTACCAAAAATTTATTGGACAAGTGTTAAATACAATACATAATACATAACACGAATGCTCCAACAATCATTCCCTGACCGCTGTGTCAAGCGTCGCTCGTGGCGCTCTTTGGCCTAGGGATGACGAGATGACAATTGTCAACCAATGAGCACTCTACCTGATGATCGGTCGCGGAGTTCAATGTTGGGAACGAGTACCACTGGAGGACAGAGGAAAGGCTGAGGAATCAGCAGCTAGAGACAAGAAGCCGTGTAAAAGTACGCAATTAGATCATGCCACCCATAGCATCGATCATTTGCCTGCAGATATGGCAGTCCTCTCGCTGTTGCTGGAAGATTGAATACACCAGCATGAAAGAGCATTATGATCAGTTTTTGGATCAACTGGCAGCCCAGAGAATTGAGACAGTCAGGTACAAAATTGTTTAACGGTGCACACACATAGGCCAGTGACAGAGAGAGGTGTGGTGTCGGTGGCTCATTACTGCACCAGTGGATCCGCGACTTTCTTGTTGGACGAAAGGTAGACGACCATCTAACTGACTGGTACCCCTCTACAAGTGGCGTGCCTCAAGGCACTGTGCTGGGGCCATACTCTGTTCCTGATCCACATCAACGATCTACTGCAACTTCTCCGATCGCGGTGTGCCTTGTTTGCGGACGACATGAAGATTTGGAGAAAAATTGACGCTCCCGATGACTGTGGCCTACTTCAGCAAGACCTCAACCGCCTCGCCACATGGTCTACAGAAGTTGTCCCGATCAACCCAGCCAACTCTGTATTTATGAGCCTGGGGAAGGGTGCCGACGGCCGAAACTATACTTTTGACAGCCAACTGCTATATCCCACACCCTCCGTGAAGGACCTAGGTTTACTCTCGAGCTACGATTTGAAGGCCTTGAACAACACGAACAGGCTATGTCGTAACGGACTACGCATGCTTTGGGCGCTCAAACGTAGCTTCGGCATTTGGTCTGGAGAGGTTGCCACTCGACTCTTCTCTACCATCATTAGACCAATGCTAGAGTACGGTTCGCCGGCCTACTTTCCGATTACCCGAGGCAAAGCACAAAAGATCGAACGGGTCCAAGACGTTGCTACCAGGCTCATCCCGAGTTTAAGTGGCTTGGGGCATGAAGACCGGTGCGAGAGACTAGGACTATACACCTTGTCCTACCGTCGGATGCGAGTCGACCTCATTATGACCTACCGTATTCTACATCTCGGTGACTTCCCAATGCTAAAGCCAATGCTGCACTTACGAGGGCCATGCAGCACATGCGGTCACAGATACAAAGTTGTCGTGCCGGATGTAATGTGTTCCCCACCCACGGTGCTTCGAACGGAGAGTGGTAAACATTTGGAACAGTTTGCCTGAACATGTGATTGAGGCAACATCTGTGCAACAGTTCAAAACGTTGTTAGATTTGTATTTTGCCACTATTCGATTCAGAGAACGACTGCACACTTACGATGACATATCACATTTGTGAATCCTGAAATATCGTAAGTCAGATATTTTAAATGTTACATGAGAACGACAACGATGTTCACGGTTGGAAACTTTTATAACGTTTTTCACCATATTTCGATAGAGTTGTACAGAATTCATTTCTACTTGCTCTATAATACAGTATTCAGAAGGACGTGGTTCTAATGGACGTACAGTCAAGTAAGATTGGACACCAGTAGTGAGTCCACGCTATTTCCGCAATACACAGCTCTGCAGCATGGGTGAGCGCGAAATAAACTCCGGCACACTGGTGAAGATACAAGAACGAGTACTGCTAGTGAGCAGAGTCAACGTTTGGAAAAGTTTGCCGGAGCATACAGTGAAACCAAACTCAGTGCAGCAGTACAAAATATTGTTAGTTTTACATTTCTCCAGTATTCGATTCGGAGAAGGACCAACCACAGACAACGATATCTTACATTTGTGAGTCCCAAGTCACTGTAAGTGATAAGTTTTATGGGATATCACATAGGAATTTTGGAAACGACCAAAGGATTGTCAGGTCATTGATCGTTTTTGATGTATTTTTAAAGCGTTTTCGATCACGTTGCGATGGAGTTATGCAGCCAAAAATATGCACCTCCCATAATACAGCATTCAGTATAAAACGTCAGCGCGAATCGAGTTTGAGCAGTAAGACACACAAACGGAGCGAGAATTATGACGGGATGTTTCAGGTCAGGCCAACATGGAATGCGAACTCACCCCATCGCTTGCAGGACTGCACGTGGGTGGCACATGAAGGCCAGTTTACCGACGGCGGACTGCGAGGGATCCTTTACTCGAACCAGCATACTGAGCCTGTTTTCGTGAAATGCTTGCACACACAATTGCAGTTGCTCTTCCGTCTTGGCTACAGGGACCAGATTGCCCGCGGTCTCAATCCAATACGGGTGATCATCCAGCACCTTAGGAAGAAAGAGAGTGTGGGGATGGTAGAAGAGAAGGTTCAGCTCGCATTGACTGAAAAAGTAACGGAATTTGGGAGTTGCAGATGGGCTTGACAAGGCCAGTCTTCGCCATCAAATGTATGGAAAGAATGTGAAACTCGTTCAGTGCGAACGTGCAAAAGCTATAACGGTGAAGCACGCGAGGTGCCACAGTACAGTTAATAGTCTAGCCACCTAGACTGGCGCTGTCGTCTGAGGTCCAGCGGCATAAATAGTTGAATTTGCTAAGCATGCTCACTGGTTTGAATCTATGAGAATTTAAGAGGAATTTCCGTGACCGTGGTGATGTGTCTCAACGGGACGGAATGGTCAGTTAGCCATTGTTCAGGCGTGTAGTGGCTGTATGGCCCTGACGAATCTGTATAAAATAAATGCTTAGGGACTCAAGTGTCTGGGAGGAGTGACAACTCCAGACACCCGAAGGATACCCGACAAAATGCGAAATATGTATCGACACTGGACCCACATTATGGAAGTGGTGATGGCTGTGTATAGATGCGTAGAACAATGTTGGCGTTTGGCAGTTACTAGGAATATCCATAGCTAGGGAGGTGGATGAGGATGTTGGACATCCCACCATCATCAGGCCGAGGGACAGTGCACTGAATTTGTTACCTGAGTGGACGCCATCAGGTAGACACTTTTAGAGATGACTATCACTCTTTTCCACGCCCATCGCTAGTAGGGTTATCCAAGGGAGCGTGCTCGGTACTTCACTGTTCCTGCTATGTAGCAACGAAATCATCACATTTGTAAAACACGATCGACCAGTTTTATTCGCCGACGATATCAAGATTGTATATAAGCTTCGGTGTGACCAACTTCACGGAACGCTACTGCTCATTCATGACGACTTATATTTCGTCACGGTATGGTGCCACACATGGATGATGAACCTCTTAGTTAAGAAATCAAGTGTCATGTCATACGGCTGTTCCATTCCTGAACGATGTATTGCCCTAAACAATGACAATGTCCCTATACAGCTGTCCGCGCGTGATCTCGGAATTAGGTACTAATGTACCTTCAATTTCTCCGAACAGGCCCAATACGAAGTAGCACGTGTCAGACAATCTAAGCTCAATATATCCGACAAAATCCACATAAACCATGCCAGAGTTGAGTTTTTGTGCTACATACCCGCCCCATCCTCGAGTAAAGGATCATAATAATAAACGGTAATGTGAGAAAATCTGACAGAATTGTTTTGGAACACCTGCAGACCGTTACAACGAACTCGAATTCGAATCCCTTTGGGTTCGACGATTGAAGAGCACAACTTGTTGCTGCTTTTCAAGTTGCTATACAAAAAGCCGGATTCCGACCTAGCTGCACTCAAAATATAACATAGCTCAATTCGAGAGCTTCGTAACAAAGAGCATACATAGAACAAGCACGAGCTCGCATTTCATCCCGGTCAGCAATCGCTTTCTGTGGGATAAAACGCCAATCAATCACACTTAGGCTGTGCGGTAACGTGGCTACATTTGGTAACAAGCTCTCTAGTTACCTTGAGTTGAACACCAGGATGACTCTATGCACCTGGTGAAAATCCCTCGAAGAGGGGCCCAAAAACATCAAAACGTCAATGTTTCCGAAAGTTGGTTTTCGCCTCAACATTCACCAAAACGCTATTACATAAATCGCATGCCCCAATATTGCACATATGCATATTGCCCATGCAAGAGTATGGTTACTTTATATAAATTGATCTGTGCCGCTACAGATACAGTTTCTCGGATAAAGAGAAACACATGAATTATTATTATTATTATTATTATTATTATTATTATAACAATGGTGAGGGACCAGCTGCAGGTGAAGCACTGAGCCTAGAGAACTAAACAGAGGCGCTTATTGTGTAATGCACTCAAGATGTCGAGTGTACCGCAGAACGAGGTTAAAGAATGTGCACTTTTGGAAAGGGAACAACACGATAAAACTGGTCAACGGAGAGGCCATCAATTGGGGGCAAGCGCATTGGAGAAGCTGGCGCTAAGTGAGAAGATTGTACGCACATCCAATAATGAGCAAACCATGCGAATTATGTGACCGAAGGATATATTGGAGACAGTGCGAGCGTATGAAGCTAGGATGTATCGCCATTAAGCATGGCGCATTAGGTTAGGGGGGTAATGTCGTTCTTGTAGTCCATCATCTTTCAATCTTGAGTCATCCCATCTGACGACTGGTACAAACGCGTCCGACTACAAGTTGCATGGTCATGGGGTCTAATCACAGTGGATCTGAGATATGCGTTGCTATTGGGTGTCAACTAGGTAAAACGGCAAGCCGGCGCTTTCTGAACCTGCGGCAGCTGTTTGATTGAGCCTGGCTGCGACAAAGGATCCCAAAATTCTAACGTCTCCAAGTACGTTTTGATCAACTACTGGTCCGTTTGCACATCTAGCATACTTTCCTCCCTGTAAGCGACGTGAGGTGCGATCGAGTCAAGTTAAGATTGACGCCTTAATGATTTGGCGTGTGTAAGCACCTTGTGAAGTCGTTACAGTCCGCCACGAAAAACATGGGTCACTCCAGCGGACGCGGATGGCAATTACGAATGGTTAACGACAAATCACTATGTTCTAACACAGATAAATATGAAGTGATCTATATGTGATATGGACTTAGTATCGTGTGTGTGTGCTTGGAGAATACGGTTTTGAAAAAAAATCGCCCAGCAGTGAGGTTTTGAGATGTAGGCTCAAGATGATCTCTGTGGCTCAAATTAGTAGGTGCTGAAAACTGACACCGGGTGTCGTAAACCGAAGCCAACGCACTAAACGCCTGCGGAAAGCGTTGCCGTAGCATGACTCATGTTCTCGTGAATGCTCAAAGACACCATTAGGCCTCATATAGAAAAAAGTTTCCAGCTGTGACAGCTTTGGTAAAACCGTATTATCGCTATGCACGAGACTCCACAGTGAAGGCGATCAAGAATCACATGGGTCGCTCCGTCTACATGCTAGGAGTGCACGCGCGGTGGACGGAGTGACATGATAATGAGATTGACAAATCTTGAAGAAGTGTGGGACGTTTGCGACAACTTCCTGAAACCAAACCACAACGTCAACGTAAAGGATCATTACCAACTGGAGTGAACCATTCATTGTGGCCGACTGAAATGTCGTGGAAACCTTTTCCTCAGTAGTTCGAAATGCTCCTGTGTTCACCTTATCGGTGCGTTAGGCCATTTTTACATTATGTGACAGCCTGCGTTCATTGGTGGACGACATAAAGTGAGCAGGTCGCGTGTGTGCATCAGCTTAAGCTACAAAGAGGTCATCAAGGTGAGCAGATTTATAGCTGTCTTCACGGGGACATCCAATTGATTCGGATCACTGACACACGTGTTATGTTGCTGACACGTTTATGGTTGAGAGTTTGCCGCTCTCACTGTGGCTTAGTAAGCGATAAAATTGCTTATTCCGTTGGTTCCACAAAATTGAGTCGTTCACTCACAACGTTCCTTTCACACCACGACGCGGGTGATCTGGTTAATTACGCTTGCGCTTAAGGTTGCGCAACACATCTACCAAACACACAGTGTTTAATCCGAGAAGGTTACCACGAGTTAAAATTAATCCCCGGCACACGTAGCACTCCTCTTCTAGACAGTTAGACAACTTAGCCAGCGGCTAGCAACCGTTAGGGGTGAGGTGAAGTGCTTACATAAGCTAGAGAGAGGGAGAGATGATAAGTTGGGGTTAGCCGGAACCAGGCGGATAATGAAGTGAGAGGTTGTGTGTACTTACGTGGATTTATTGTGTGGCAAGCCAACAACGTAAGATGGAACAAAAGGGCGAAAATGGTAAACTTGCAGCTAAACTGAATGCCCCGTGTACAGTTCAGGTTATTGCCCCCCCCGGTTCTAAAGGGGAGATATTTTCTCAGCTAACTGCGACAGCGTACATTAAACCAAATAAAGTGAGCCGGCGGCATCGCAGAGAAAAGCGTTAGTACAACTGCTTTGGGAATTTCCAAGGAGGAGTTCGTGGTATTCTAGCAAGTTTCTGCATTTATTTGCGTTACACGTGTTCTGGCCAAATGATTTGTGGCAGGACTGGTGCAACACCGCAGTTTATAGAACGACGCGCGGTAGACCCAGTTCCCTTGACACATATTACTTTGGGTTGACCAAGTTTGCGATCCCAGGGATCGCAGTGACCAAGGTTCACTTCAAGGTGAATAATAGCGGTCTACATTGAGACTGCGCGCCGAAATCCAATCACACAACGTGTAGTCCACCAATTGGCCCTCCATTCAGTCATTCACCGTTGTGCCAAGCGTTGTCCGCCGTGACCTGGTAGCCAAAAGGGCAGAGGTTTCGGCTACTATTCCAATGGTCGCGAGTGCGAGGCCTGCTATATCCACCTGGTGAGATGAAATAACATCGAAACCCGTAGCGGTTGGGCAGTGTTTTCGGACGGGCAACACCTAATTTTCAAAAACGGCTTAGTTTGGACAGGCTAAATACATTCGTCCACATTGGTACACATTAGCCCCCTTCCCGAACTAGTCATAAACCATTGGGACAAGCGTAGTACGCATCGCTGTGAAGGTTTCGGATAGCATACTCTAAGTCCCGGGTTTGAATCGTAGATCAGCTATCTCTGTCAGATGGGTGCACAACAAAGCAGATGTCTAACAAAACAACGAACAAGAATATTACGCAAATGAGTAAAAATATAAAAGATAAGCAAGGAATTACAACAAATATCCGGTAGCATGATGGAGGAAAAGTAACGAAATTAGGAAATTCCCCCCAACACCCCCATATCTGAGAACACGAGTTTATTCTCCCAATGGTAAGACAAAAATAAAACGCCGTCAGACCAGGTGAATTGGTACATAGATGGTGTGGCATTTTATAATAAGTGGATGAGATAATCGTGACAACTGGGACACGAGTCAATGGACTCTCACAGGCACAGGTGGAAAAGTCATCCCAAGTG